TAGTCAGCGATAAGCAAATCAAAATTCTTTCGGTAAAACTACAGATCAAATGCCAGAAAATATTGCTTCATCTCTATCTATCAATGGGCAGTGTTCCAGAAAATGTGTTTCACTAGGAACTACAAATATTGCATCATCTCTGTCAGACCGCAATGTTGTACAATTTGCTCAAAATAAAATAGCAGATCACAAATTTCTCATTTTTCATTGGCATGTCACTAATGATAAAAGAGTAAATAACTACTTGTAGAAATTCACTAAAGAATTCTATTTCAAAGAATTACTGGCCGATATCCAAATAATGATAGTTCAATTGAGATATCCCTCACATGTATGAAGCAGAGAATCCTGGAATGTATAAAACTACCTCACAGAATCATCACAAATCTCCCCATGTCCTCTATTCCTATTACTACTCATAGTGAGTTAGTAATACCATGGCAGCCTATGGACAGATCACCCTCATGAAACAACACTAACTCCGCAGCTATGAGGTCAGGCATCATCTCCGCTAATGCGCCAAGTGCTCAAAGTAAACATAGGGTGTGCCAAAAAAGAATGGTGACAGCCCACTCCAGCGACACTTGGATATGATTTTCTTCCCAATACCTCTCAAACCCACAACAAATCCTCTAGGATAATGTTCTCCATGCTTTGGCTTCTATCCATTATATCAGACTATGGAAATTGCCTAATGACCTTTTTTGCTTCCTACCCTGCATTTCTAAAAAACTACGGTGCAAGTCTCATCTGCTCTATGCCATCTTTTTATTTTGCCATCCGGTGGAATGCATTTATACAGTACTCAACTAAATTAATGCAGTTATACCCAACATGATTTGTGTCGCGGAAATGCGTATGTTGGTCTACGAAAAGACAACATGTTCAACAGATAAATGTCGTGGAAATGTGTATGTTGCGTTGGATTTGCGGTCATACAAGAAGGGATCGAGTTCGGAACGATGATATACGTGATAGATTAGGGGTAGCACCAATTGAAGAAAAGCTTGTCCAACATCGGTTGAGATGGTTTGAACATGTACAACGGAGATCTCCAGAGGCACCGGTGCGTAGTGGAATCCTAAGCCAGAATAGTAACGTGAAGAGAGGCAGAGGAAGACCGAAGTTGACTTGGGTAGAGGCGATAAAAGGAGACTTGAAAGGATGGAATATAACCAAAGACTTAGCCTTAGATAGGACTGCTTGGAAAACAGTTATTCACGTGCCTGAACCTTGATTGTTTCTGCTGGGTTTCAACTCTAGCCTACCCTAACTTGTTTGAGACTTAAAGGCTTTGTTGTTGTTGTTGATACCCAACATGATTTGTGCCGGATATAGACATGGTCTTAAAAATTCTGGATCACATTTTTATGAATCATCAAGAGAGGTCAGGGATGCCCCCTACTATATATTATTATGTATAGGAGTTTAGAAGTAATAAATGAACTCAACAAACACAGAAAATAGACAGATACAACTACAACTTTGCCTCCTAGTACACATGCAGCTAGACCTCATCATTGCAGAAAAAAAGCTAACAATTTAGCAAAATTACATCAAAGATAACTATGAATTAAACTAAATCAACAACTGTAAGTTCTACTGTAAACTACGAGCAATCACAACTGAGCATGATAGCCACGAGCTACTACAGATAAAGTATGGAAGGACCGGAAATCAATTCAGATAAATAGAGAAGACAAAACAATATTGACACTGACTATAACTCGTATATAAGAAAAAACATAGCTACTGTCAAACCAATTAAATTAAATAGATAAAAAAAACAACAATCAGAGACATTGAAACTATAGGAACCAAGCTCAATTTGGCATAAAGCGAATTGCCTACTGCATCTTAACCAAAAAATAACTAAAAATCAATTGAGATTTATAGTTAAGCAAGACCATGATAACAATGGCACACCTGAGCAAACCTCCACTAACAAAAATTAACTAAAATACAAATATATAGAAGATGGAAAATGTTCAAAATATGCCACAATATCGAACAGAGTTCATCAGCTACAAAAACCCAAAAACTTATCCATCATTCATAAAGACTAACTACTATAATCACTCATGATCCATCTATATAGATTCAAAGACAACTACACAAAGAGGACATGGTTTTAGCAACCTATGACTAAACATAAACTGGATCTACGAAAATTGGAAAACAAACACTACAATCATTCAAGATCCATCTATATAGATTCAAAAACAACTACAGAAAGATCACATGGTTTTAGCAACCAATGACTAAATATAAACCATATCTGCAAAAAATTAGAAAACAGACTAAATAAACAACTCACCGCACAAACTAATGAGCAATGCAGAAGAACTACGACTCCAGCTCAGGCCCGGACTCCGCCTCCGCCTCCATCTCCGAATCAGGCACGGGCAACTCAGGATCAGCCACGGGGTCGACCTCCCTACTACACTTCGACTTCAGCCAGCGCCTCTGCCTATATGCAAATAACTTGGAAAAAATCAAAAAAATAAGAACAAATAACGGGGGAAAACTAATCGAACAGGTCTACATCTAAATCATTAACAAAGCGCAAAAAAGTAGTCACCAACGACTGCGAAACAACGATGGCAAGCAAATCCGACGCGGGTCTTCACAGAAAGGGCGAATCACCGAAACACCGATGAAAATCCAGTCATAAACAAGTAGAGAACGAGGAGAACTACAACCTCAGATCAAAAACCGCACAAAAACCAGATCTAGACTATAGAACAACCACGAACACAGCGGCGACCAAAAACATGGGCCAAGCGGCGACGACGCAGCGGCCGCCACGCCGCGGGGCGCGTCAACGAGCGCGGCGGGCACGGAGGAGTCCGAGGCTCTGACGCAGCGCAGTGCGGCGGCAACGAGGATGGACACGAGTGGCGCGGACGGTGCCCCCGCGGGTGCTCCAACAAACAACATTCAGTAGGATGCTCGTCGGAGACGGCCGGGAAAACAACATTCAGAAGAAAGGGGGCAAACCAAAACGCACTGACTGATGTCAAAAACTACACCCTTGCATCCATGGAAACTGAAAGACAAGAAGGGAGCGAAGAGAACTTAGCTCGACGAACCCTAGAAATCGCCGGTCGGCCGCCCAAGGAGAGCGGCGCGTCGCCTGGAGTCGCTTGGAAGAAGCCGAAACGAAATGGAAACGGAGAGTGGGGGGACGCCACTGAATCGGGCGCGACTCCCAAAAAATCAAAACTATACGCCGACATCCAGGGTCCACAGGTCAGAGAAACAAAGACAGATCCGACGCGCGCGAGACATAGCAGACCCAGCAGACGCGCGAGACTCCACATCGAACGACCAGCAGACGCGCGCGAGACGGATCCGACGGACAGAAAATCCGTGTGCCAACGAACCGAGAAACACACATGTATTGTATAGCATTCCTGTATTTTTAGCTAATTCATGTTTCCCTTTAGCTTGTATGCGCATAAGCACCCGTCTGTGGTCGCCATGCGCCTAGGAATAGCTCGCCATGAACTTGAGCTCTCCGCCATTAGCGATGTCGTGGGTGTGGGGATGGACGCGCCAACGCGACGTGCAGCAAATAGCTGAGTGTCTTTGCTTTGTAAACACTCTATTTATTCAGTTAATCACAACAGAAAACGCTGTCAGTTCTAGCAGCACCAAAAGGCTCTGTGTTCATCGTGTTCCAAGTGTTCGTGTGAGTCTTCTTCACTTTGTTTTTCTCCAACGTGTTCCAGCGCTCGCCGGTGGTGTTCACCGCGGCGCCGGGCCTGACATTCTTGACCATCTTCTCGCAGTCCAATGGGGTGGTCTGGCAACAAGAAAAACAGGGAGAGAAAAAAGAGACGTCAGGCGATAAAGAAGCCAACCGCTTGCGATGATTGCAGTAGAAGCTATCGCTCTCGCATGTACTCCAGCACATCTTCTTACCCTGACGCCATGGCGGACGGGAACTCTTCTTTTGTATAAACGGAGGTGAGCTGAGAGTTGCTGAACCTAAACGCTCTGCGACTCTGCTTGGATCTTTTTCTTGAAGACTTTTTGTTGAAATAAGAAGTGCTTCAATCAAGTTTATAGTGGCTATGGCACTATTATTTGGTTACAATGCGAACACATGTATTGGTCCTTTTTGCATAGGCATAACCTTGTTTAATTTACAACATCATAGGCATAGAAAATTATTTAAAGTGCACTAGCGACGCAGGCCGGATGGGGGTGCCGAGTGAGTGATCAACTGAGCACACAGTTCACAGCCTCACAGGTGCGCAGTCCGCGTTCGTCAACGAGTTAAGCCTCACAGGCTAAGATTTCTAGAGATGAGGCCCAAGAAGACAAATATATCATTAAAAAATAAACCAATACCACAATTTAACAATACGTCAATCATAAATCTGCATACAACAATTGCAAAAAAAAAAAAATTGGGAAAAGACAACACAGTTCAGACAAATCGATGTACGACGAAATTTGAGCTTCACAAATTCACAACGTTAGACCCTGAACTTACGATCGTTCCACGCAAGATGCAACCCACAAGGGAGACCATAAGAACCGTGATCTTTTTTCTAGATGATTTTTGTTTACATGTAAACAGAAGCTCTTACAGCATCGCAAGACAGAAGCTCACAACGATATCAAGCTCTGAGTGCTCTTACAGCATCGGAAGACAGAAGCTCAAAACGATATCAAGCTCGAGTGCAAGAACGCTGAATTCGAATGTTCATTCAGCAACTGCTTTATATATAGAGAGTTATATAGACTTACAGAGGAACCGGTTTAATTAGCTTGCAAAATGCAAGGTACTGCACTATTCCGTGCTTTGAACAATCATGTGCCAACCGGCAGGGAAAACAAATCGGTCAGCCAAAAGGAATTTACAGGCAACACTCAGGAAACAAATATTCTGAGAGAATTGGAACTGGAGCTCAGCTCATCGATGAAGCTCCACAAAATATAAGGTTATTGTACACACGGGCTATCCAGCATCACTGGAGCGACTACTATCAGGACGGCACAGCGATGCGGTTTGCATCAGGCTCATAAATTGTATCATTAATCTTGGATGGCGGCCAATACCGGAGAATAGATCTCCCGACAATATTCCTCACTGGAAGTGGGCCCCTGAAATGGCAAGACATTCGATACAGTTCAGGCATATGTGTATCAAGTGCAATTCTAGTGTAACAGATCGAGTTTTAGTAGTTTGCAACGTACCAGTTATGGGAATCAAAGCTGTTGTTGCGGTTGTCTCCCAGCACAAACACATAACCTTCTGGTACAAGCTGCAGCAGCAGTCGACAAATATGAAATGCGTTAGGACCCAGCCACCCAGGTACCAAGCGATGAACCATCATGCTTACAGAAATGCAAGAATGCTAAGCAGTATGGCTATGGGAATAGGAACTCCATGAGATTCTATGTGGCTATCAAGCATTCGATAATTCAAGTATCAGTCAAATAGTGGAAATGCAACAACAGATACTTCTTTATCGCACAATCTAGAAATTTGAGTTTAGCATGTCAGTTACTTAGGCCAGCAAAGGCAAGCATTTCAACGAAAATATGTCTAATGTCTCTAACCTAAGTAAAAAAGAACAATATATGAAAGCAGAATCACACTACAAAAAACACAGTTCCTAGTGGTATAGACTATAGAGCATATATCATACCACCAGTTCCAGCTCGTAGTTGTGTGGCTCCAGCACATAATCCTCATCCTGAACTACTCCATTAACAAACAGCTTGCCATCACGCACCTGTTAAAGAGCCAAGATTATCAGAGTTACAACTCAAGTAAAAAGAATCGAGCTGTTCGCAGCATAATGACACGAAACAAAAGCAAGGCTGCGCTACCATTGGAATAAAAGCTTACTTCGACATGGTCTCCTCCCTTGGCCACAACTCTCTTGATGAACACATCACCTGAGCTGTAGCCATAAGACTGCAATGAAAACGTCCAATTCAGACATCATGAGAAAAACAATCCAGGGAGGCAGGAAATAGCACCTGAAGTCCTGGGGGAGCCCGGAAGATCACAATGTCCGAAATTTCCGGGTCCCGGAATATGTATGAGACCTGCAGATCACACCACCACCAAATCATTAAGAAACATAAAAATGGCATGGTACATCTCTAAAAACCAAAATGTTCGTCAGACAAAGCTCTACCTTCTCTGCAAGAATCCGATCACCGATATCGAAGGTCGGGTACATGGACTTGGACGGGATGGACTTGGGCTCGGCCAGGGACGAGCCGTAGAGAATTGGCACGGTCACAGCTGCAAACGCCGTCTTGGCGTCATCGGAGCAGGAGCTCACCCACCTCGACAGCCAGTTGCTCCTGCTCATCGCTGCACCAGCACCACTGCTCGTCGCAATTCCGGCAGAACCAGACGCACCAGCAGTAACAGTACCACTAGCACCACCAATCAACGCCTTCCTGGGGGGAGCCGAAGGCGCCAGCGAGCGGGGAGGGGAAGAGGGTGCCGAAGACGACGAGGTGGCAAGGTCGCTGCACGGGAGCCACTTCGCTGTCTGCAAGAACGGGAGGAAGGACGTGGGGTTGAAACCGAGCGAAATCGGCGACGAGCCTGAAAGAGAAGCCGCGGATCCGGTGGTCCCAGGCGTCGGTCCCGTCCTCTGCACGAGCACCGAGAGCAGCCCCACGGCAAGAGACGGCGGCGGCGACTTGGACGATAAGCACGCACGCGTGAGCAGCAACGAGTGAGCCCCGGCGGCGATGGCCTGGGGCTTCGGGTGGTTGTGGTCGCCTCCGTCATGGCGGTCGCTGCCGCTGCCGCTGTTGCGGTGCTGCTCGGGCTGGCGGGTGGAGGCGAAGATGCAGAAGGGGCGCCAGGCGCCGTCGTGGAGGAGGCGGCTGCCCGAGGCGGAGGCCGAGGCCGAGGAGAAGCGGTGGCCGAGCGAGGCGGCGAGGTTCTGCGCCACATAGCCGGAGTAGGAGACGGTGATGCGGATCGCCATGGCGAACAGGCAGAGGAGCCGTAGCGAGAGCGAGAAGAGGCGGATTGGGCTGTCGAGGAAGCAAGCGGGGAGTGGGGCGCGGGCGAGTTAGAAGCAGGCGGACATTCCGGAGGGTTGCAGAGTGGGGGTTGCGTCGGGGAAGTCGAGATGAGGTCTTCCGGCGAGCTCCTCGCCGGAAGACGACGTCAACGGTGGCGGTCAATGGAGGAAGCGGCGAGGTGAAGCCGTGAAGGCGAATTGGGGGAGAGAAGCGGAGGGCGAAGAGATGGGTCATGGGTGTGCTTTATTATAGACGCGTGGACGACTTTTCTGAGAAAGAACGTGGAGGAATCGAGGCCCCCCGGATTTTGGAGATCTTTTATGTTTTTTTTTTCCTGCAAAATTGTGTGATAGTTTTACTCACGAATTTTGGGGTACAATACGGAAATTGACGTGAAATCTGACCAAATTCAACGTTTGAATTTGCTTTAAGTAACTACAAGCAAACATGCAGGTTCGTTGCGTGATACCTCGATGATTTGCGATTCCATCAATTATCACGCCATCTATTGCAACACATTTTAAAACCAAACTCTATACCATTGTTAGACACGAGCTAAACTAACTCATACCAACATAGAGGGTGAGTCCAGATTACGAACGGGGCATGAGAGTATTGTGAGAACCAAGAATGGTTAAAAGAATCCACTTAATTTTGAGACAAACTCTCATGTTCAAACTATATTGGTGGCACTACGCACGCGGCAGACTTCTATTCGCCGTGGGACGTGCGGAGGGCCTCGCACCGGCGCATTTCATTACGCGTTGAGGGGTCAACTATGTGTTAGCAAAAACATATCCATCGCCGAAGTATAAAATTTTAATCCTGCGTACCTCAAGGTAATGTTATTTATGTTTAGGTTTAATTCACATAATACATTCCTAAAGATAAGTGAAAAAGTGAGCACATATTCCACCACAATATTTGATACACCTTTGTGATGGATTATTGAATTCTCGACCGAGTGACTGACAAACGGCCAACGAACACAGCCCACCAGTCGTTAGGTAAACAGCACCGTCGCTGCCGTGAAAAAGCGAGATCAGGCTGCGAAAAAAACTAGACTAATCCACAACCCTCCGAGCTCAAAAGCAAGCGCAGCCAAAACAGAGGTCCTCACGAGCGCGCAGCACCGAGCCACGAAAACGACTCTGTTCAGTGTTCATCAGTAGCCCGAACGTTGCTTCGTAGCAGCTTCCACTGTCCTAGCTGTATCACGTATCAGACACGTCAATAGCCAGTGACGAAGCGACGGGCCCACAGCGCTAATCAAATCCTCGCGGAGAGAACTTCGGATGGACCGTGGCTCAGAGTGTCATTTGAAGACAAGCAACCAAGTCAAAGATCTGGATGAGGAAACAGAGAGCCGTGCATTCACATAACCCAGAATCATCACTGGACAACTGGGAACCTAGTCAATACTCTTTTTTTCCCAGATAAACAACTTTGTCCGAAGATTCAGATCAGGAAACGATGCAGGATAACTCATTTCAGATAAGCAATATCCGCTGGAAATCAGAGACAGTAAAACGTAGTAATGTGTAGTAGTATCAAAGTAAAAAACAATTGACAGGAAGAAATGTTCATTGCAGTATAATAACTGAGGTCAAATCTAGAAACATTCAACTAACTGGGCTCAGCCACTAAAAAGCTTGTGCACACTGGCATGTGGGCCCCATTAACGTCTACACTTGGACTTCCCGATTCGGCGGTTGCTAACAACTACCAGCCACGATTTGCTTCGGCAAAATGTCAACCGCTAAGTAATTGACTCCATATAAAAACCGAAGGAGTCGATGATTTTTCGGCAAATGATGTATGCCATGTCGTAAGCACTTACGCTTTCCGAGCCCCCAATTATATATATATATATATGGAAATTATTTTCTACTCCCATGTGTATATCTCTAGATTTATGACGTATATGGCCCGACGAAATGTATGTAGATGAAGTATATCATCATACTAGACCATCTAGGGTACTATGTATGACAAATATGTATGTATACCTAGAGTGTACGATTATACTTATTTTATATACTATTATCATAGTATTATATAATATATTTAAAAATATATGCTCTTTAAAAAAATCACATACTAAAGATTTGGAGTATCTTGATATTAGTATGTCAACATACTCAAATTGATAAATGAGTATGTACATATATGCAACGTGATTTATTGATTATGGGAGTAATTACTCCCGGGAGTATATAAAATGCATATATATATATATATATATATATATATATAAAACAGAAAAAGGATAACATGCTGGACCTCTCTGATACAACGACAAAGAAGCAAGGAAGGGGCCAGGAAGCATCGCAGTCCGATGACGAATAGAAACGTGCTATAATTGCTGAGCTCCAGTGCTATGGGTGACAGCATGAAGCAACCTAAACAAAAGGAATGACGATCAAATAAGTGCAGTGAGATTGGTACCCGGATGAAATTGTCTAGAACTTACTACAAGGAACGAACTGCTAACATTCGTGTTCAAAAAAGAACTGAAATTCTAGCCGTCATATTCAACTCTATCTAGATTTGTTCAGTCCTATGTGACCGCACACCCAGAAACGGCACGACGCGCCCTTGGAGATGGATGTACTCCGTATATGTATAAGCACAAGCATGCCTAGATCATGTCACAATCGAAGCAGCAAATTCTAGGACCGGAACCAACCTGACCCAGCTGCAATGTATAACATGGTACTTGAATTCATGCTTTGCTACAACTCTGATCTTAGAGTACAAGTTTTCAGAATTGAAGCCAGTCTAACTTTCCATCAACAATTACTGTGGATTTTGTATTTTTTTCTCTCTCACCACTCAACAGTCCAATCGAAAATACTCCATAATTAGTACTATGCACTCTACTAGGTCGTTCTATATGTAGGTTACAAGAATTGCTTTCAAAAAAATGTCGGTTACAAGAAACATGTAATATGCGTGAATGCCTCAAAATTATGCTCTAGGCTGAGACATCAAATTGCAGGATGTCAATGTGAATCCTAGTAGACGATTACAGCCTTTATTACTCAGCTTTTAACAATCCCACATTCAACAGACTCTGCTCCTGCTCCAGCATTTACAATACACAAGCTACCTTAGCTTGTACCAGCTTGTGCCAGTTAAAAGCTAAGCTCTAGCTGATCTAAAAGGGACCAGCTTTAACAATCCAGAAGCGACAGGGCAACTTTTAACAGGCTCTAGCTCATCCAAACAGGTCCATACAACATCTTAAGGTTGCAGTTCAACACTCAGTATTCAGGCAAGATTATCAAGGGGCACGGGGATTATAACTTCATGACAACTAGTACGATAGTATCTGATAAAACAGTTAAACAAGTTAAGTTACTTAAAACTCCACTAGAATTGCTGGGGAGAATTAGTTACAAATTTTGCATAAGATGGAGGAAAAGGGAACAGTCAAGAGAACCAATAGCATCCACATTTCACATTGGTTCATTTACATCTAGCGTCGACTCCGGGGCTTTGACCTTCCTTTCTGCACCATTGAAAATGGGTAAACATGGTAAGGTGAAAAGGGATTCAACGGGTAAACATGGTAAGGTGAAAAGGGAAGCTTAGCAATACGCAGAACCAACTAAAAACATGCCACATAAACTGATGTCAATTTTACTCACCGATGCACCACCAAAGCTGGAACCTGAAGCAGTAGCTCCACCTGAAAAATACATAGATGTGTCATGAAGTGCAATTTGTCCTAATCTTGAATAGTCCTTTATAATGAAAGCACTGAACTCAGGATAAACAAGCAACATGCAGGAAAGAAAAACAGTGCTAATACGGTTAATCTATATCAGTAAGTAAGTACATGCGGCTCCAAGTTGTTTTATAAGTAAAATAGCATGCAAATTTCTACCGTACAGCTTGCAGCACATAATGTTGATTGAGCAAGTATCTGTACCTCCAAATGGTGTAGAAAATAGAGATGTTCCACCCAAAGATGTAGTGCTAGTCCCAAATCCAGGAGCTGGTGTTGATGTTAATGTAGGAGTGGAGGCTGTCCCAAATGGTGTGGTCAACTGAGCCGATCCAGATGCACCAAAAAGGTTGCCTGATGGAGCTGGAGTTGTTGGAGTTGCAAAGAGACTAGATGAGGATGGAGCAGAAGCCGGAGTGCTAAAAGTTGACAAGGCACTTGAGAAAGTCGCAGCAGATGGAAAGGAAGATTGCTGCGGTTGGCTTGTAGCTGGTGCAGCGATCTGTGCCATGGGCTGCGCAGGGGTAGGTAAATGCAGTGTTGGATGGACCCTTCTGGCAGCTGCTTCTTGTTTAGCTGCTTCTCGTCTGTTTGCCTCCAGAAATGGATCGCTCCCATTACCGATGCGGCGTTGTTCATTAAGATATTCAGTTTTCATTGATTCAACATATTGATGAAGATTTTCCACCTGAAAAAGAGCAAAGATAAGGAAACCCCTTAGTATGAAGGTGATGCTAAGCTTAGTAAATGCTAACTAAATAATGGCTTCTTGTTTTGTTCACAGCATGTTGCAATTTCTAAATGCTCAATCAGTTTAGAGTTTATATTTGACTCAGTTAGACATTGGCACATCATCAAAGTATATTTCAGGGAAAAATTATCCTGAATTCATTTGTTTATATAACCTCTTTTTAGTAAGCTTACCTTAGAAGCAACATAGATGAAGTAATCATGCACATTTGACATAACTTTTGGAAGAGATTCTAGAGAATCTGATGATCTTTTATTTGTCTCCATTTGAACCAGCTGCTCTAGCTCACCGATCCACTTGCAACACTCCGCAAGATAGCACTCAAACCTGTTGACAGTGCGCTGCATAAAAATGGAAGGACGCTTTGGGACTCCACTGTAGAAATCTACCACTGGCTGATTGGGTGGAGCACCAGAAGAAGGATTTGAAGAACCACCATTTGCAACTCCAGCACCTGGACGGGTGAATCTTGGCCTCAACATCAGATATGACCTAATAGCAAATTCTGTGTTCCACATCATTTCATTGACAACAGTCATCAACTCTTGAATGGAAGCCTTCTCTCTCTCCATTACAGTGGTGGTCCCACCAAGTTCCTGCTAGAGCAGACAACGAATATTACTAATGGATCCAATATCCTGCTAGACCAGACACCGACCAGCCTACCACTATGGCACTACAATTGTATACAAAAGAAAATATTCAGCATTGGTACATCAATTCCCAGCTACCAACCAACATTATTTTCCACAGCAAGTCATTTTTCGCCGAAAGGCATGTTAACATTCAAGTTGGATGGAAGTTTGCACTAAATAACCCATGATGATCTTATTAGATTTATAACTGCATTATCAGGGGAAAAGTGTCAATGTGTCATAGTCAAACTGTGAAGCTTCTATTCTTACTAGCGTAAGTTCAGTTTCAGTTGCAACATAAGTTGTTCTTGTTCAGGACATGACTAAACCGTTAGGGACAAGCTTATATCTAATATACTCATATGATAGATCAAATATTTGTGGAAAGTGGAAAAGGTTTAATCTTTTCAAAATTCACCTAATAAAGAAAAGGAAGGGGGTTCCAAAGTCTGCAATTGCCGGAGGTCAGGGGACACTATATTAAGGTACAGGTCACTTAACTCATGGATCTTAAAATGATTAAAGGGTCTACAAGTGACTCTTGTCTGTCGCAACGATATAACAAATTCTAGAAAAAATATTTCATACTCTTTCAGAATGTGTACTAGCAAAATCATGTGTCAAGCTATCAGCTAAGACAACAGTGATCTCCAGGTTGTGGAGCATGACATAAACAATCAATCATGCACTAAAAGCTAAGAAAATCTAGGGAAAGTGAAGATCCTAACCTGAGCAATGCGACTCGCATCAAGCTCAAAATTGACATTCGAGATTGAGTCATAAAGGCGACTGCACTGATCCAACCTCTCACTCTCGTCTCTGTAGTCCCGTATCTTGTCCCTGCAAAATCACAGTTAGGGGAAAAACATCAGGGAAACAACTTATAGTTCATAATAATTGAAACATCAAATGCATAAACCCAATGGATGCAACAGGTTACAAAAATTGGAGACAAAGTGCACTCCCTTAACCATAGGAGGCTTAAAGACTCCTAGGATTGCCACAAGAACATCAAACGCAACAGAAGCCCACCCCAATAGAAAATCTGACCATGGAGGACAAAAGATGTATCATTCCGCCCAAAAACCAAAACTTTACAACAGTGGATCATGACAGCAGACTCAAATAAAAAAACCATTTAGCCCCATACAGCCATACAGGAAGAGAACAGTTTAAATACGCCATCCCCCAATACCTTTAATTTAAATTACACACTCATTTCACCGCAAAGAATCAGAGATGTTCCACCAATCTGGCCTAGTAATCATGTACTTTTGCTAATTAGGTGGAACCATTCTAGTTGTGGGTGTAAATCGACAATGAGTACCATCTAAGCAATAACCGCGCTCCTTTGCAAGAAAACAAGAAAAAGGAAAAGTAAACATTTAGAGGAAGAACCCTACTCGATCTGGAGCAAAGCCTTCTGCGACTCGGCGTGCAGCTCCTCCCACTTGGTGTTGTACCCCGCGGGTTTCATATCCATCGTGTACAGCGTCAGCTTCTGCTGCTGCGGCTGCGGCTGCGGCTGCTGAGGTTGCGCCGCCGGCGCCACCTGCTGCTGTGGCTGCGGCTGCTGCTGCTGGAAGCTGAACTGGAACGGCGAGGGCGATAGGGACGGCGCCTGCGAGGTGGCCGGAGCTGGTGTCTGAAACGGATTCGGCGCCGCCAGCGTCTGGAAGGGGTTGGACGCAGCTGGCGTCTGGAAGGGATTCGACGCAGCCGGCGTCTGGAAGGGGTTCGAAGCCGGCGGCGAGGCGAAGGAGAATGCCATTGCCGCGCGCGGATACGGAGGGGTCGGCCTCCGGCGATGGCGGAATGTAGTGGACTCTGGCTGGGCCGGCGCACGGCGGGCTCGGAGGGCTCTTTAAACCCTAGAAAACCGGAAGGACTGGAGTGGGAAGCTGACGCCTTTGCCCCTAGTAGTGGAGAAGAGAAGACTCGCAGGACGGCAGGAGCAAACGGTGGGCGTGGAGTCTTCAGCTTTTTGGAAAGGCGACTGTCCCCACTTGTGTGGGACTTGCCTGTTCGGCTGGTAAAGCGGCTGTAACTGTTTTTGGGGTGTTGTTTTTCTTCTAAACTTTAGTCGTTGTCCTATCGGATGTCTGACATGTATAAAGTATTAAATATAGACTAATTATAAAACTAATTGCATAATTTGAAACTAATTTGTAAGACGAATCTTTTAAATTTAATTAGTCCATGATTTGATAATGTGGCGCTACCGTAAACATGCGCTAATGATGGCTTAATTAGGCTTAATTAATTTGTCTCGTGGAGTACTGAAGGATTCTGTAATTTATTTTTTTATTAGTATACGAATATCCCATGCAACACCCTCATGTGACACCTCCTAAATTTTAGTATAGGATCTAAACATCCCCTTGTTGTGAGAGAAAAATACTATAAATTTTAGCTGATAAGTTCAAACAAACAAACGAACAGGCCGTTTTTTTTGTTGTTGTCGTTGACTGTTCCTGGTATCTGTGCGCCTGTAAGAGCACCTCCAAAGAACTTGTGAGTTTTGTAGCAAAAAGAAAAAAAAAACTTCAACAAACTTAGTAAAACAACTTCTTAAATAAAAATAAGAAATTGTTAAATCTCCTCTTCAATTTGTAACTTTTTGCTATTATATATTCTCTCTTCCGATCATCAGGACAGATAGATATTCTTTCTCCTTCAACAGAGAGAAGTTATGACTCTCTTTCCGCTCGCTTAATTGTTTTTGGCCTTGAGATGCCCGGATTGGGTCGAAATATGAACAATTTCGGACTCCGAGTCCCGGCCGGCGTAAGACTGTTCATCAGTTCGGTTCCAATTCCATCTCCTTTGGGAGCCTCACGATGGATCGACGGCAAACCTTTTTGACGGTGGTTGAAGAATGATAGAAAATGCTGGCAGCAAACCTGCCAAGACCAAGAAGACAATCAACCTGTTCGTTTCATCGTAAACGATCGTAAAATATTTATTGCTGACTAATTTGATGTGAGAGAAAAATACTATTCCAATTTATAATTCACGATCGTATACGAGCAAACGAACAAGCTGAATAACTGGTCCTTTAGATTGAGGCCACTCATGTAGTCAAGTTACGCTCGTTGACCCTGAAGACTGCGACAGTAAAAGATCAAATGAACTTACAGCCAAGCATACCCAATAGTAGATTAAACGCTACGACTTTTCTTGTGTAAGCATGTTATAAAACTAACAGGTACTGCCGATAGCCATGAACGTTGGCCACATATGTTCTCGGACCTTTTATCGAGTGTTTACCTATATGGTCATTCATACTGCAAAGCGTTGTACAGATTTAGTTTTAAGATCTAGAGCTACTCACAGTGTGAGTATAATTTAGATAAAATCAGTTTTCTGAATATTTGTATAATCCAGTGCTCGTAACGTGTTGATGTACTCGTTATTATCTAATATAATTCTTAAATCACCGGGAAAAAAAGACGTCATGTCACAATGATGCTACAAATCCGGTGCAAGCCAGCATATAAAGAAAGGAGGTAATATGGGATTCAAATGCCAACTCCACATGTTCAAATCGTGTTCTGAACAGTGCACTAGGAACGTGTCAACCTCAATTTGCGAAAAAGGCATGAGAATCAATACATGGAGCAATGTGCAACGTATTTGTACCATAGATTCACTTGCATAGGATGAATATTTTTTCCAACCGAATCTTCAAATATATAGTGCTTACAGGACTGCAGTATATTTGCAACCTTATCGTTTCTAGAGTTCCCCATACTGACAAAACATCAGTCAGAATCAGATGCTCCTACAACTGATGACCCCTTCCATTGTAACAAGAAGCTGGCTTTGTGTTGTGTTCTGACTCTGGCACAGTGCATCCTCGGATACTATTAAGTTGAATCAGTATATGAGTAGCTGCGCCATATTCCATTGCCACAACTAGTCGTCAGACATTTGATGTCAACTCCCATGGTTGAAATACTGAAGATAACCATGAGTTGGATGCTTCCAACATACAAAGGTAACTTTTACCATCATGGAGGATATCAACATTTCATTGCAGGGTAATGTAGAGGCTCTATAATCGTATGTTTGTGGACTTGTTCAACAGTCAGCATGTCCCTGAGATGACAGATATCTGGATTCACTCACAAATGAGCATAATACCACTAGGCACTAGCCACCCATTGTAAGTTGTGACAGAAGACCATGCCATCTGGAGATAGATGGCACGTATGGAAATACCTCATGATTTAGGAAATATGGACATACGATTTCTTCATGAATTCTGCAAAAGCTGATAAGAAAATAAATCAGGTGTAGCTACACATAATCTGTGATTGGAATTTGCTGCATAAATTATTGATATCAGTAAAAATGTGCTTGGTAATAAGTGTGATACCTCACAAAGCTCCAATTAATCAATTAATAGCTTAGGTGCCTAGGATGGAGAGGACTGAAAGCGTTGCCTGAGCTTCCCATCTTTGACCAACAGGGTTTGATTCAGAATGATAAGACACATGTTGTTCACACATTGCAAACCATTTTAATGAGGAAAGCAGTCTCGAATGCTAATTCCTTGGTCTGCAAATACTTGCTCTCCTCTACAACATCTGTTGTCAAGTTGAGAATTACCGGCCTCTCTGGATCATATTGAGTAAATTCACGGACTTTTGCAACCCATTTAGCTGCCTCCCATACACCAAACCTAGCATTTGTCAAATGCAACAAATTATTGAATTCAAGCATTTGACAAAAAGTTGAATTAAGTGCAAGAATTAGCGCGCACATCTCTGCCAATCTGGTAAGGAACAAAGATTACAAAGCCGGAAGGTGGTTAAGGGGACTAGAAAGCAGCAACCGAGTATCCAGGTAATGCATACCTTGTATTGAATGATGATGTCACAAACACAGCTGGGTAAGGAACATCCTTCTGGATGTTATCATAAGGAGAATATTTCCTGATTGCAAGGAATTCCTCATGATCCACGGGAAACCCAAACTCTTCATAATCAATGGCTGTAAGAGGTAGAATAGGATGGAGAAGGGTGTTGCAAACATCCAAGAAAGGGACCTGCAGGGAGAAAATGGAAACTGGGGTAATGGAACATCAGCAGAAACGAAAGAAAAGAGTTGATAACAGCGTATCTTCAAGATTACAGAGAAGAAAACATGACTATATGGGAATTCCAATCTCGAAGAGGAATCCAAGAGCTAAGTTCCCAACCTGCTACTAGAAATGATCATTAATTTCTTTTATCCAAAACTTTGATGACAAATAATGAACATAGACGAAGCTTAAAAATCTATTAGGGTATAAAGCCCTAATGATACAGCTTTGCTTGGAACTGCAGCTTTGACCACAAAATCAGCTACAAAAGGGCACTGCAAGTGCCAATGCAGTCTTACAGCAGCATAGTTGCCAAGATGGCAGTTTGTATAACATGGAGTAAAATTGTGCTGAAATGAGGAAAAAAAATGCTGTCTTTTGGTATGCTCAGTTTCACTTGAACAGCATTTCAGCATCTTGATGGGTTTACTTTTATCAATTCAATTTTGGTCATATGGGAAGTCAGGAACAGATCCTAATCAAAGCGCTAATATTTTCCCCATCTACTGATTAAGGACTGTCTAAGGAAACTGAGATAGCTCAGTTGGACAAGGGTGTGGATGTATACCAAGACCACCCAGGTTCAAGTCCCCATCGAGGCGAATTTGGGTGCATATTTTCTTCTTAATAAATGCCACTTAATTCCCCCTAGGTTAGTCTAGTTTAATATTAAGGACTGTCTATAGATAGCACACACGAATTCTCGTCTTCTACACGTAGATAGTTAATTATATGCTTTATACCTTTAAAACAGCAGCACGAAACAAATCTGGACGAGAATTAATTGCCGAGGCCACCAGAAGTCCTCCAGCACTATATCCCCATCCAGCAAGCTTATTTTCTTGTATGATACCCTTTTCAAGAAGAAACTCTCCACAAGAAACAAAATCATATACAGAATTCATTTTTTTGGTACGTGAACCATCTTGGTGCCACTTCTTTCCATAACCTCCACCACCCCTGAATACACATGCTTTAGTGAGTATATAACCACATGACATGAGTTCAAAAGGCTAAAGCTGGAATTATTTTAATAAGGCAACAGCCACCATGAATGAACAAATATTTTAGCTCTTTCTAAATATTTCTATGCCATGCCTCAAATTTTTCCAGGCGGATGACGGAAATTAATATGAAGCTTCCCAAGTTCATTTCATAGCAATAATAAAGGTAATTAAAGTAGGCTAGACATACCTAACATCAGCATATGCAATCACCCAACCACGATCCAGTAGAGTCTTTAACTCACTGCGCCAACGTTTATCCAGAATCTCACCATAAGCACCATGTCCATGAAGTAATCCTGGATTTCCATCTTGCTTATGCTTCCGCGAGTATACTAAAGTTAATGGAACCAAAACACCATCTTTTGATGGAACATCATAGTATTCACAAGCATAGTATTCAGAGAGCTCATTCCAAGCACAACCAACAAAATCATCATTTGAAAAATCTGCTTTATCTGAGGATTGCCTGCCCATATTTACAGCAAAAGAAGTTCCATATAGTGCTCTTGTTCGCTCATGAAGCATGTTTTGTTGTTGGACTATTTGCCACTGTCCATTCAGCAAGTTATAGTCAACAACAGCATCAGGCATCTGCAATATGATAAGCTTACTGTAAAGAAGGAAAAGCATTGGAAACATCAATTTATGTAAACCATTATAATTGCAGCATATGCTAGGGAAGAACGAGAAAATCCAAAAACAAAGTCCACACGAGCTGTAAGGATATGAATTATGATATCACTATGAAATCACAAGTGATGTATTCAGAGAAGTAAGAAGTAGTTTCAGTGCAATATGAGTGCTATTCTAGTTACAAATGAATTATAGCTTCCATCACAATTAGGGTAACAACACACTAGTAGGTATGAAACTAGGAAAGCAGAAAAAGAATAGAGCACATTCTTGACTAGCATGCAACAAAAAAATGAGGGATATAACAATCAATGGTGTCATAGAATAAATTATATGTAGTTTATATGAGTTACCAACAATATCATGAATAAATGCATCTGTTCATATAGCTTAGGCACCAACAAGCATAAATAAAAAATCAAGATATAGACATGATCGACACTAAAATATGATAAAAGACATATTAAATTAATGCAGTAATGCACAATTGCACCCATAGATTATCAAAGGCATATGAGTTGCTATCAATTCACCACCATATGAAGACATGGCATCAAACTCCAAATATTAACACAAAAGTGTTGCTGGCAAGGGGTGATATGAATTGGAAAATACATAAAATGTGCAAGACCAAGGTAGAAGTGAGTACTCCATCCGTCCCAAAAAGGATGCAATTCTAGCTATGGTCTGAGTCAAACTATCTTAACTTTGACTAAGTTTATAGAAAATAGTACCAACATTTATGACTTCACTTATGTATACTATGATATATATTTAACAAGATAAATATTAGTATCTTTTCATACAAATTTAGTCAAACTTAACAGGGTTTGAGTGAACACAATTCTAGAATTGCATCCTTTCTGGGACTTAGGTAGTAAAATGTAACACAAGTTACAGTAGAGAAATGCCAAATATAAAAAGCAGCATTAGGATAGCTCCTTCCATAACTGCATCATCCATCCATAATACTACTTTTAGAACTAAAACATCTAAGTGAAAACAGGACTCAAGTAAACTAAGGGCTAACCCAAATGGATCTTTCGTGTAAATGGATCATCTTCAAGAAATAGCAAAGCAAAAGAAAAGAAAAAATAATTCATGATATGGAAACAATGAGGACAATTTAACATGACAAAACAATGGGATGCACTTCATCAGAAACTACATGACAGAAATAAAGACATTGTTATTTCATACAAATAACATAAAAATAGTATGAGTGAATAAATTCTACCCTTATCTGTAAAACAAAGGTTACTTATAGAAGAATGGAAGAGAATAATAAAAGAAAGAGCAGAGGAATACCACAGGTGAGGATATCGTGAAACGCATTGTTGAGGAATAATAATCATAATTCGGTCCAGATACAATCTGACACACATCACCGGGAAGAGGCAGGTCAATTGGATGCAAATCTGATAGATGAGTAGGTACCTGAGAAGTGAAATGAATAACGATCATGGTTACAGTATATGCATAAACCTTTACAGGATTTTTGTTCTTCAAGATATCCAGTTTCCAGATTTCCAATAGGTGGAATAATTATGGAGCGAGTAAATAAATAAGCAACAGATCTTTACAAGGTTATAATTGTACAGAAGAGAAAAGGCTGTGGGAAACCATCAAGAATGAAATTGCAAAATGTCGCAACTTAGTTCAACCATAGATAAGGATAAACAATTCACTTACTTTGATATCTTCAGTTAGAGGCAAATTAACAGAACAAATTCTAAGTTTTCTGCCTTGTCTCAGAGTAAGCACCATGTGAGTATCACAAAAATCAACATCTTCAAGAATGACACCAGGTTCCTCAACAAAAACATTCTGGTTCAAACATCAAGTGTGAGTCAAATAGAATATACAAAGTCAGTTATCTGAAATAGTTCTTAGCAGAATGTATTCATACAGCAGTCATAACAAGTGCTAACTAGCTTAATTACTAAATTACATATGTCATGTATGTATTCGCCAAAAGTATATAATTTTTGGGAGAAGTGCTTCTTTATAGTAGCCACAAAGGGACTGCAGTTGTATATGTAGAGAACAGGGTTTCAGGAAAAAATCAACATAGCATAGGAGACGAATAATTTGAACCTTCCAACTATTTGGCCCAGAAGATTCCACAACAGACTGCATTACATAATGCGAATCAACAAGGACACCTTCTCTTGCAGCATCTGTAAACAAAAAAAGGTGTCCACGATGATGCTCAACAATGCAATGAACTTGGGATTCCCCTTCCCATACAAGCGTCATTTGGGACAGGGGGTCAGAAGCATTTATTAAATACACCTAGAAAAGAACAAATAGGCATGAGCAGCAAACAAAAGATCAAATAATAGGAGCACAGATAAGGGATACAATAAACAGTACCTTTGAGTGAGTGTCTGAAAAGACATTTAACGTTATATATCGAAAATCCTTCGTATGTCTGATATTTAGAAAAATATTCTCATCATGTTCTTCCAACATGAGAATGTCATCCTTGTTGGATCCAATCATGCTGCAAAACAACCTAACCAAAACAGAAAAAAGAAACAGTTATTGTGCAATGAAAAAAAAACATAGATGAGCAGATTTATAAAGAAAAATCACTGACCTATATGGTCTTCTTTCCTCATTTGTAACAATATAAGCCAATGCTTTCCCATCCATAGCCCATGAAATATTTGACACCCGATCAGCACAGGGTTTATCATAAAGTGTGCCTGTTACTAGATCCCTAACCATTAAAGCGAAGGAGTCCTTATCTTTGTCATACATTGTGTATGCAATAAACCTGTGATCTGGAGATACTTCAGACAGCTCCTCATATGAGTATCCTACATATCAATGATTGCATATAACTTAATAATCGGTGCAATAGTGAGACAAACGATGTATTTCTACCTCCAAAAATGTAGTATGGGGCGTACAGCATATCTATAGTGCAATGTGTTGGACGTGCAGGCATCATATATTTTGCATAATCCTCTTATAACATGAAAATCAGAGTGTAAACTTACAGATACTCGCAGAATACTACACTATCAAGTGCCAGATGGCAAGATCATAGAATCGAGAACATAATTCACAATAGTGAGTTGGTAACAATATTGCAGGACACATCAACTGGGGCAAATAGCAGCCCACAGGGCAAGGCCTCGAAACAAACTGGAATTGTGGTAGAACTTTAGTAGTTACCTCCGAACCGCTCGGCCTCCTTGTTGTAATCCACCAATTTCTGCTCGATGCGCTTCCCAGCCGTGAAGTCGAAACCTGCGGAGGGGTCACTGTACGAGACGAACTCGCTATGGAGCGCGGCGGAGCGGCGGCAGAGCACGGGGTATTGCTTGCCCTCGTCCGCGCGCCGGTAGTACAGCCAAGGGCCCCAGCGGACGGGCGGCGTGCACGAGTCCGAGGCAAGGCAGGAGGCCATCTCGAGCTGGAGCTTCCGGGCGAGGCGGTCGGCGCCGCAGGCGGCGAGGCAGGCCTCGGTGTACTTCTCCTCGGCCTCCATGTGGACGTCCATGTGGCGCATGGCGGCGGCGTCGGAGAGCGCGCCCATCCAAGCGTAGCTGTCGTGCCACGTCTCCCCGTGGATGGAGACGGGCTCGGGCTTCTGCGGCGGGCGCGGCGGGTTGGGGGGAGGGGGAGGGGGCGATGGTTTGGCGCGGCGGTGGACGTGGCGGCGGAGGAGGAGGAGGCGCGGGAGGAGGTCCATACGACCGCGCATGGTTGATGTGGCCCGAATTGACGGCGGGGAGGGGTGGCGACCTGGCGGGCAGTGGAAGCCAGACGCCAGACGCCGGAGCCCGGAGGAGAGGTTTTAGGTGGGGTTTTGGCCTGTTGGGGTTCGCCGGATTCAAGCGAGGTGAACTGGCGAGAGGCCTGGGCATTCGGGTAACGGGCAACCCGAAAAATTCGATAGCAGTATCTGAATTTTCAGTTACCCGGGGTTCGGGTTCGGGTTAGCTGGTTCGTATAGTTGCTTTTTCGTTTACGTAAGAGAGAAGTATTGCTGACTGGTTTATGTGAACAATGTCCATGTGAGAGGGCTGGCCAGCCCAGCCAGCCCTAGCCGAACACGTTGGATGCCCGTGATTGATGCCGGTATGGACTCGTGGGCGTGGCGGTGCGCTGATGCTGGCATTGGGGCACGGGTGCGTCCGCCACCGTCTGCTTGTGGAAGGACGGAGAGAAACAAGATAGAAGCGGGGACCTGGTGCGTGCGGACTGCCAGCCACGAAAGGAGAATAGCGGCGGGTGAGGCCGTGAGGGTGGCGTTGCCTGATGCGACGGCGGCGGTCCACGGGTGAGGGAGGCGTCGGGCGCGAGACGGGAGTAGAGCACGGCAGCGTCAGGGTCCGGCGGTGGGCGATCGGTCGAGCCGTCGAGGGCTTCAGCGCCCCTTAGCCCGAGTAGGCCGGAGGGGCTCGAGGGATTGGGAATCGAAGTGGACTGCTGGACTGGCTAGGCTCTCCTGTTGGGCCGTGATGATTAATCATTGACGAATGTATTTTATAAGTACAAAATAAGGACTTGCTTTGGCGGGCTCTGTGGCTCGTTTCCCGCCTCTCCACGCCGCCCACGGCCGATAGGGAGCTCGAGGATTGGGAATCGAAGGGTTTTGTGAGAGGAGTAAAGAGAGAGAGCTGGCTCTCGGCTCTCTGTTGGGCCGTGATGATTAATCATTGACGAATGTATTTTATAAGTACAAATAGGTCCTAAGTATATCGTTTTAGATTCTGTATAATCAAACTTTTTAAAGTGTTGCCCAAAAAATCAAACTTTTTAAAGTTTAATTAGTTTTATTATCTCCAAATAAGTTTATTATGAAAAATATATTCAACGATTAATCCAATATATTTATTATATACACAATAAATATTAATGATTAATGATTTTTTAATATACTTGGTTAAAGTTTAAACTGTTTGACTTCTCAGTAGATGAGAATGACATTTTTTTAGAACAGATAAAATAGTGGATTATTGGGCCTTGCTAGAGACTGAAGTAGACTTTTAAAAGTTAGAGTGTCGTTGTGTCTTACGGTCTTACCTGAGCTCGTCTTCCTCATTGCATGCTAAGGACGTGGCCGCGTGCAGAAAGAGGTTGGCCCATGGACCCGGGTGTGCTCATACGGTGGCCGCATACTCGCCCTTGTTGCGTTGCATCACACCTTGGACGTGACCTTGAACCGGGAGTAGCTGACACAACCTCGCGCATGCGAGGAGACAAAGAGTCACGAGGGCCTAGTGCCTCGCTACTTTTCCTCGTTTGTCAAGTTCAGGACATCTGTTAAATTCCGAAAGAAGATTCCTCATGTCGGACGGGCTAGGAAGATGAATCGGTTGGTGCGACAGTGCATGTGGCTTCCCTTGGATGGTTGTCGCCTTCCAAGGTCAAGATTTCTAGGGCCTCACCAAGCCCCCGGGCGCGGAGAATTTGGCCGTGGCCCCATCTCCTATGCCTACTTCTCGAGGAGGCTAACGCCTTTCCCCATAATGGGTCTTCTTGGGCCCAAGCACCGTAGTCCAAAGTATGCGCACGAGCGCACACGACGAATGTAGCCTTCGAGCCCCTAGATGATTAGAAGGGGGTTAATTGGATTCTCATGATACTAATCAAGGGTTTTAGACAACCCCTTTGTTAGGTACTAAACACATCCCCAACCAATCTAGACCCATTAGAGTGGCTTTGATCAATAACTAAACGAAGAAGCTTTAATCAATAACTAAATAAATTCTTTCACCTTCTCGTTAACTAATTAATTCAAAAGCTTATATCATGATCTAAGTGAACACATTGAAAAAAGGTAATAGAAGCAAAAACATGCTATGAAGTTGTATGATCTGCAAGAAGGTGGCCAGTGACAGATCTAAAATCATAGGCAACTATATGATTTAAGAATGTGATATAAATCTCTTGACAAATCAAACTAAGGAAGGATGATGATGCTAAGAATGTGAAATGCATAGAGAATTTCAAATTCATGAGTCACCTTTTTTATTTTGCATCAACAGCTATTACCATAGACCAAAATCATAAAATTCTGAGCTATATATAGGAAATGTGGTGAGAACAAATTCAATCAAACATATAACAATATACAAAAAAGGGAAAAATGCATATAGAAATTTATGATCCTGTGACTTAAATGATTCTATATTCGTTTCTTCATGAATGTTAATTTTTTTGGTCGTGAAAGATGTCAGCAAAAAAAAAAGGCCAGATCTAGCGGAACATGACAATGCTGACGCGAAGCCCATTCATCACCCGTCCTAGCACACGGTCACACGAAACTCCAACCCACTTGTCCGCTACCACTACCACCACCACAAAGCGGCGGAATCTGGCACAACAAGCCCACGAGCCCCAGACGAAAAGCTGATACACCACAACCCTCCTAACTGAAAGCGCACTCGCACAATGCCAAATGGGCCCAACAAACTTGCCGACCCATTCGTCATCGCCACTCACACATCCGCACCTCGGCACCTCGCTGGTGGCACCCCGGTCCTCGCAGTCTAAAGCCGCAACCTTGTCGCTGTCGCGCTCGCAGCCTCGCACCCGGCCCCGCACACCGGAGAGTCCGGGCGGCGCGGACGCGACTCGACTCGACTCGCCTGGGCCGCCCTCATGAATCTGGCCGCCTTTCCCTCCAGCTCCACCACCACCCTTGCCACGCCTGCGACGCTCCCCTGGCATGAGATGCCATTAAATTCCTCCGCCACTTTCTCGTCCTCGCTGCTCAGCCGCTCGCTCTGCGCGTCGCTCCGGAGGATCTCTCACATGGCCTCCGCCGCCGCCCCCACCTCCGCGCCCGCCGCCGCCGCCGCCGAAAACGGCGCCGCGAAGGCGATGGAGCAGCGGCCCGTGCAGGTCCGTGCGCCCGCTCTCTTCCTTCACTGACTATCCGGTTCCGCGGCTTAGATTTGGTAGGCGCTTCCACATAGGGCGTTGTGTATGGGTGTTCAGGAGGCTGGGACTTGGGGATGGAGGGCTGGGGGAGCCGCTGATAATTGAAGCGTATTTTTGACTATTTTTGGTTTGTTAGTGCAGTCATCGATTACTTGAGACGAACGATAGTTTATATAGAAGCGATTCTAGTCCGACTGAACTTAAGAGTCTATGAGATAATCACTTTTGGCCACATAATCATTTGTCTCCGATAAGGCGAGAAGCAGAAGCAAGAGGTCTTGGTCACATAATCACTTCTCCCAGTGAACCAGGACTTGATTGGTCGTTGAATCGTTTTTTTTTTCTAGCTTCAGCGGTGGCCGGGAAAAGTAACTGTACAGGTTCTTTTTGTTGTTCTATTGTTATACTTGCTAGTCTGGGCCTCTTTCTTTTAAATATAAAGAAAAAAGCATGAGGACCTCTACCACAAATAGCCCTTGCTACTGCTATGCATGTAACTGCATGTAATATTAGTCTGTCACATGGTTGATGTGTGGTTATTTTGGAATAGCTAAGTTTATGTAGGAGCTTACCGAGTCATTGTTGAGGGCCTTTTGGTGAATTGGCACCACGGATGTGGACCCAAATCGGGTGTGCCACCTATGTTGGGAAAATTGAATCCATCCAAACCCATCTGCGTCATGATAGCTCAAATAGCACACAGTATATGCCAGGAAAGAGGGAAGCTATTTGTCGTGAATAAATTTGAACAGCGTTTCCTCAAACCATTTTATCAGTCATGCCATTATTCATGCAATCAGTTAATGTCGATGAATTTATTTATTATATATGTTTCATTGTACTTGAGAAAACAAAGTTTATATGTTTCATTTATTTGAATGATATTGCTAATGAAAAAGGCAGCTAGTAGCATGTTTCTTAGATAGTTAGATACGGAGTAGTTTGCAGTAAAGCTGAGAAGGTTTTCATCCTGCTTAAACTCTTAATACCCTTGTACCCATTTATACTTCATTACTGGTTACTGATTACTAGATGAAAAGTGGTGGTGTCGGGTTCATAAACCCGGGGTCCCCAATGGACCCGCTTCCCTACAAAACTCGGCCCAGCAGGCGGCTCAACGACAGCACACGTCTGGGTCGGCCCAGATACACAATAACAGGCCAAGACCACGATCCGGTCCCCGACCGCGCGACAGCATCTCGACGCTCAGTAGGGTAGGCCCCGCTTTCTCTGGGCATAAATATTTGACCTCTCCCGTCCTCGTGAGCAACAAGGGTCACACGTGGGCTCCCTTTCAACTATAAAAGGGATGCACTCCTGCCCGACATCTGGGTCAACAAGCTGAGCACCGCTTTTGTCCGACCTCTTTCTCCGACCAAGGATACGCCGGACCTCTGCTCGCTGCTCTTTCCCGATCGACGCGGTCGGGACGAACCGAAACGACCGAGTGTTAGGCCACATTCGGGGCCTACAAATATTTACTTGTTGGCCACTTTTTCGCACCGACGGTGGCATTGCCCCTCAACAAGAGTATTGGGGCCCAGCTTGGTGTGGGCTCGAGAGTGGCGAGCATATAAGGTAAGACGCTCAAGTCAAACGCATACCGATGATCGTCACCACCATACCCTATCAGGCGGCACTTCGCAAGGCGGTTGCAAGCCTCCTGTCTTAAGTCATGACTTTGCTAGATGGACATTATACAACCTTCCAGACGCGTGCATCGTGGGCCAACAATCAGCATAGACCACAAACAGATGTGTGTTTTTTTCTTCTCAGGCACTCGCCACTTGCTTATGGCGTTTTGTCGTAATTACCACCCTATTTGACAAGAATGCAGTGACGCGGTAGAGCCTACTTTACCCCTGAAGTGAAATTTGCCAAACCGCTGTCGTCACTTGGTATTCCACCGCATAAAATGGCAGTGATTGTGGTGAAGTAGGCATACAGAAGAGTACATCCTGCATGCTCGATGATGTGAGCAACAAGACTAGGCAACACACGTATACACTTTCTCTCTTTCTCTCTGACTTGTAAGGCCATCCCTTTCAACTATAAAAGGGGATGCACTCTCTCCTGAAAAACGACGCTGGCTCTTTCTCTCTCGAAGACTTCTTGACGACTCGAGAACACAACAACTCAACAAGCTTTAGAGACACACAGAGCATACGCTCCAATACTTAGCATACGTTAGAGCCCCCGTCACTCTTGGCCACTCAGTTCAGAGTCCGACCGGGCCTCTAACACCCCCCTTCTCATTCCTTACTCGTTTGTAACCCCACAGCAAACTTCGAGCACCTGGGCTCAGGAATAAAGTCGCCGACCGACCTCAACTGGACGTAGGGCCCGTTGCCTGAACCAGTATAAATCATGTGTCATTGAGTGTTAGGCCACATTCGATCACAACGCACGGCAAAACTACAAATATTTACTTGTTGGCCACTTTTCGCACCGACAGGTGGCATTGCCCTCAACAAGAGTATTGAATTCTTGTCTTGCTTGCTGCACCCATATTACAGAGCATTGCTGCAATGTATTGCTATTTCTCCATCTGCTACTCCTTTATGTGTTTACAGTTCATACCTCATGAGTAATAAGTTGACTTTAGTTTCGGATTCTGGTTGACCATCACTTGTTCAATATGGACATGGCAGATGATAACTGATGATGACTTGTCAGCCTGAGGTCTCATGTAGAGTTCATTATCTATTTGCTGTTTCCAATTTCCATGCCCATTGTACGTTGTGTTGAAGTCCAGCTGACATCATGAAAGAATATTTTATGAAAGTTTTAGTAATAGGGTGATCAAACGAAATTCCTGTTTTAGTCATTGTTTTTATCATGTCTGTCCTTATAGCAGTGGGTTTACTTGCTATCAAAGTAGACTACCTTAGTTTGCAATTTGGCCATTCTCTCCCATCCAGATTGCAAGACTACCTTGAGCTTGGAATTTGACCAATGTTCGATTTCTCCATTGCAGGTCGCAAAGCGGTTGGAAAAGTTCAAGACAACAATTTTCACTCAGATGAGCATGCTTGCCATCAAGCATGGAGCAATAAACCTTGGCCAGGGCTTTCCGAATTTTGATGGCCCAGTCTTTGTGAAAGAGGCCGCTATTCAAGCTATGAATGCTGGGAAGAATCAGTATGCAAGAGGGTTTGGTGTGCCTGAACTGAACTCGGCTATTGCTGAAAGGTTCCTGAAGGACAGTGGATTGCAAGTTGACCCTGACAAAGAAGTTACTGTTACATCTGGATGCACTGAAGCAATAGCTTCAACAATATTAGGTCTGATTAATCCTGGCGATGAGGTGATATTGTTTGCTCCATTCTACGATTCATATGAGGCTACACTGTCGATGGCTGGTGCCAATGTAAAGGCAATTACCCTCCGTGCTCCAGATTTCGCAGTCCCGCTTGAAGAGCTGAAGGCAGCAGTCTCCAAGAACACCAAGGCGATAATGATAAACACACCGCATAATCCAACTGGGAAAATGTTCACTAGAGAGGAGCTTGAATTTATCGCCACCCTCTGCAAGGAAAATGATGTTTTGCTGTTTTCAGATGAGGTCTATGACAAGCTGGCATTTGAGGCTGATCACATATCGATGGCTTCTATCCCTGGCATGTATGAGAGGACTGTGACCATGAACTCTCTGGGGAAGACATTCTCTCTTACAGGATGGAAGATTGGGTGGGCAATCGCACCACCACACCTGACATGGGGCCTTAGGCAAGCACACTCATTCCTAACATTTGCCACCTGCACACCAATGCAAGCAGCAGCGGCAGCAGCTCTGAGAGCACCAGATAGCTACTATGAGGAACTGAAAAGGGACTACAGCGCGAAAAAAGCTATACTGTTAGAAGGACTAGAAGCCGCAGGGTTTATTGTTTACCCATCGAGTGGAACATACTTCATCATGGTGGACCACACCCCATTCGGTTTCAACAATGACATAGAGTTCTGCGAGTACTTGATTCGTGAAGTCGGCGTGGCCGCTATACCACCGAGCGTATTTTATCTCAACCCTGAGGAGGGGAAGAACCTGGTGAGGTTTACCTTCTGTAAGGATAAAGATACTCTGCGGGGCGCGGTTGAGAGGATGAAGACGAGGCTCAGGAAGAAATGAAGGGCGGGGAAAATTCCATGTGGCTTGGTGATTGCTGAATAATCTGCTACTAGGTTCCAACTGCTCCCGGATGCGTGTACTACCCTTTTTCTAGCAATAGTGATCCTGTCAGTGACTTCATGCCTAGTGTCTTTACTATTTGTCTGTGTGTAAGCAGACGGTGATGGATCAGGATAGCTGCCGGTACACTTTTGTAACCTACTGAGCAATATGTGGCAGCTATGTGTTCACCCTTTTTTTTGATAACCAATCCTATCATCACAGTCACAGCGGCCAATAATCTGATATTCTAAAAAACCCGCTATGTGCGGGGTCTGAGAGAAGGGTGTCATTGGCGAAGCTTTATCCTTGTCAGTGCAATGCGAGGAGGCTGCGATTCGAACTCGGAGACCTTCTGATCACATGCGGTAAGACTCTACCGTTTGTATCAGACCCGCCCTTCAATAATCTAATATTCTGATCAAACCAAATCTTTGCAACAGTGACATTATTCTTCACTTTCCTTCGAGCGCTCTCAGACTTTTTACTTGTCATCGATCGAGAAGTTAGCCAAGCGCTATCAAAGAAACTAGTACAACCTTTTCCTCTAGGCTAAAACGGTTGTCCACGACACGCGCTATCCTAGAGAAACTCGTAGCCGTGAGACCTTTTAAGGGCACGACGGCTTTCGGTTAAATTAACATCACTTGTTGCATTGCATCCCCATTCCACACGACTACGGAGTGTTTGGTCCGTTTTCATAGACTTTAGTCGCTGTCTCATTAGATATTTGACATATACATGGAGTATTAAATATAGACTAATTACGAAACTAATTACATAACTTTTAACTAATTTACGAACCTACGTAGAGTATTAAATATAGACTAATTATGAAACTAATTGCACAGCCCGCGACTAATTTGCGAGACGAATCTTTTAAGCCTAAGTAGTCCATGATTTGACAATGCAATGCTACAGTAAATATATGCTAATAACGGATTAATTAGGCTTAATAAATTCGTCTTGTGGAGTATCGACGGATTCTGTAATTTATTTTTTTATTAGTATCCGAACACCCTATACAACATCCTTACGTGACACCTCCTAAATTTTAGTCACCGAATCTAAACATCCCTTACTTCTGCACTTGTTACATCTCTATCCAGCACCCTACACTGACCATCCTACCCAACCAAAACCGTTGAAGAAAACAATGGCATTGGCATGGAAAAATTATTCAATCACTCGAAACGTGTGCGCCCATACGATACGGCCATATCCTCTCACGATGCCTATCCCTTCCAGGTTCACACCTCGCAATCAGTCAGTCAGTCAGTCTGTGTTTAATTCGCAAAATTTAGGAATTTGGTTACTGTAGTATTTTCGTTTTTATTTGGCAATTAGTGTTCAATCATGAACTAATTAGGTTCAAAACGTTCGTCCCGCGATTTCCAACCAAATTGTGCAATTAGTTTTTTTTCGTCTACATTTAATACTCCGTACACGTATCGCAAGATTCGATATGATACTACTGTAGCATTTTTTGAAAAACTTTTTGGACTAAACATGGCCTCAGTCAGTCACCACGCCGGCTGCGGCATGCATGTCTCGTGTGTGTCTGTGCCTGCCCTTCTTTTTAGCTGTTCTTCTCTCTCACACACGCAAGCAAATAGCGACCGGTACAGCGAATAAATACATTGGCCATGTTGGGCCCTCGTCAACCCCACCGGCAAGCTCAGCACTCAACAGACGATGCCTGATAGAAAGCCTACCGGACAATGATTTCCGTTTGAGTGATGCGTCAGACAAGGCCGCGTACTTGTAAATTGGATGCCTTGGCGTAGCTGCATATGGGCGAGGCTGCACCATATGAGCCTTGTCTGCTGGGACGAGAGCCTGAGAGACTCCAATCCAATCGAATCCATGCGCTGGTTGCCGACCTCGCTCACATGCTTAAGAAGAGTGGCGTGGATGAGCACCAGCAGTGGGTAAACTCGATTGAACGGTGTAGTGTAGCGTTCCAAGACCAAGATCCTGGAGTATTTTTCTCCCATGAAGATTGGGGGGTGTGGGGTGTGCAGTTCCCGATTGGTAGCTTGAGAAACAAAAAAACAAAGTGCAGCAGGTTGTGCCGGTCCCGAGAGAAGAGACGACTGACACCGCCAGCATCGAGATGGAATGATCAGACATCCTGATTATTTTAAGCTAGTTTCGTTTATCTGTCACCGAATTTTTAATGTAGCAATCTTGACCATACATTTTTTCTGCAAAAATTTTTTTAGATAAATCAAGTTTTCACATATATAATTTTTTATTGAACATACTTCATTAATGTTATATACATTGAAGTATCTAAGATTTTTTTGAAGGAAAAACAGATAGTCAAATTTGCTACAGTAAAAAAAGTTACTAAACACAAACGGAGAAAAGTACTATCTTATCTTATCGCCAAGTTATTTTATTTTATTTTGGAAACATTGGCAATTAGGCTGTCTGCTGATGGATGAATCAACAAACAAACGTCATGAACTTATATTATGCGACATACACAAATCAAAAGGGACTAGTATGATTATTTGAGAATAAACAGCTGTGCCATAGGTTCATAAAAATGAACTGGTGAAGGCTCCGAACAATCAAAAGGGACTAGTATGATTATTTGAGAATAAACAGCTGTGCCATAGGTTCACAAAAAGGAAATGGTGAAGGCTCCGAACAGTATGCACCTTTGAAGCTATGATTTGACTGGAGAAACCTGGGAAACTCTGCTACTCCTGTACGATGAAGTCCCGAATTCAACGAAGCTCAGAAACATCTCTTCAGCGCAGGCTGCTACTTCAGGTGTTGGATGTCAAACAGGCGGAATCGCTCAACAAGTTCCGCTCCCTTCCTGTCAACAGTCAGACAAGTCACCCAGGAATTCAGATTTGAAAAATCGAAACGGCAACTCGCCTCTCTTTTCAACTCAAATTGCTTACCAAAGCGATATGAATATGATGGCCCGTGTTACCAGGCTCCATGATCCACCACCCACCGACACCAACACCGGCAGTCAGCGCACACGTCCGCCGTCCACCTACCCGGCGCGCCGGCGATGCAGACTGGGGTTCTGAACCGATGCACCACCAACAAACCGGAAACGAAACCGCAGGTCCAACCTGCGGCGTCATCACCTTTGACACAGGCAAAAAAACGTTCATTCATCATCAGCTTTAAATTCCAAACCCACGAACAGCAGCAAATCGACCGAATCCACGATGGTTTCCCACACTAATTCGACGAAAATCGTCTGGGTCACGGGTCGCCAGCAGAGACCGGCCTCACCACACCGACTCCATGGACAAGTATTTTCCTTCATATTCATGTTTTCTCTTTCTTTCTTTCTTTCTTTCTTTGAAAGTGACTGTGATACATACACGAGGGGGAAATAAAACAACTCCATTTCAAAAAAATATTGTACGCATGCTGTGTTCTTTCTTCCTTCCTGGGAGGAAAGCCGGCAAAAGTGCTCTGGCTACCGTCCTACGAAGTGGTTGCGTCCAGAGACGCTAGCGACAGGCGAAAACTACAAGCCAGGCGACGCCGAGACGAGGCGAGGCGATGCTTTCCATGGCCGGCTGCCCCTTAGTCCCGCGCCCTTGTCGGAGCTCGCAGTCACAGTACGGCGCTCCCGTTTTTCTTACCTTATGACTCATGAGTGATGTATAATACTCGCACGGTCGCACCACGCGAATGCTACAAAATGGCGAGAAATGCTATAGATTTTGCGAGGATGGACGGCTACCTCACCTGATGGCGACTGAAAGGGGCGTTTTATTTGCGGCGTCGCCGTCGCTGAATTTGGAGGGGACGGCACAGAGATTTTGAGAGCCGGTAAAAGAAAGCGAGAAAATCAGAAAAGGGAGAAGGGGTCACTGTGTGTGACCTCGCTTCTCACGCAAGCGAGCATCATGAAACATGGTGGTCTATATCATTTCTTTCACGCAGGAAACTCACACACACACCACAAAGAAGAAAGTTATATGAATAATTGGAATATGGAACTGATTAAATGAAATGATAATATTCAGTCCGAGATGCCCATCTTGTCGTCCGACCATCAACATGTCGCGATGATTGAGGGACCTGAACCTAGAATTAATAAGCAGGTTATAATGCTTTGTTCGACCCGTAACCGAGCTTAATTAGTCTACGCCATGTTCGTTGGCTTATAAACCGTACTTTTTTAGTCAACGAACAGTATTTTTCTCTCACAATAAATCAGTCAACAGTACTTTCAGCAGCCATGAGATGAGTGCGACCAATTATGATGTCTCGAGCCCGTTGCTCCCGTAGACAGAAGAAGAAAAAGAAAAGCAGGGAAGCAAAGAGAAGCACGAGTTGGATTGTACGTATGCTGCTTTCCATTCCATTCCAATCACAGGGATACAGCCATACAGAAGAAGCTGCTCCTCTGACCAGACCTGACATAAAACCAGCCGCCGTTTTCTTCAGGCCGCCCGTCTTTTTGGCTCAAGCTCTTGCCAAGCACAGTGGCCGGCGCCCGGCGGCGAGGAGAACAGAACGTTCTTGCCAAGATGCACAACTGTCTTGTGAAACTCTCAAGGAAAAAGAATCGATGCATGTGCTTTAGGACTGCATGATGGTGTGAGAAAGACCAGGTTGAGAACAGATAGCACAAGGATTAGTCTCTCCAAGAACACATGATTGTCGGTCGTTCAATGCGGCCCGGCAAATCGATGCCTGCGCAACAAGCTGCTGACTTGTACTATTGTTTTTAGTCTTCCTGTTCAGAGTCAGCTTCATGAACGATTCAGCGTAGCATAGGTTCTGCGAAACTCTCCAGCGCATCGAAAACATAGTCCCAGTTCATTAGCACGCTCTGTCAAAACTCCAGAGCAAAACAGAGGCAATTAAATTTCACAAGCTCCGAGATTATCTCCTGTTCGGTCTGTACTCGATCGAGGTCACAAAACACAAGTCCGAGTGTTGAGCCTGTTGGATGTGTCTAGCCGTCTAGGATACATACAGTTTCTAGGTTAGAGCAGCTGGGCCATGTCTGCATGTTCCGATGTTCATGCCCCTGAACTCGACATTTTACAGGTCAACCCATTTCATCACCACACTGCTCCCGAAGCATAGTATATTGCTACAAAGAACAATTATCGATAAGAACATGTATACGGGGACAAAAAGGTTCAGAATTATCACCATTTCTGACACTATGGAATGAGTGGCGTATCTCACATGATGCAGTGCAAGGATAATTGAGAGATGGGCATAGCATAGCTGTCCTAATGCAAGAAATTGAAGCAACAGGGGATCCCGGCAACCAACAATGCGTTGTGCCAGCTTCACATTTCCGGAATCCTTTCTCCAGCATTCATGCCCCCTGTGGTGCAAAAATCTGGAGCAGCCAGAGACAGGGGACCCCAAAGCTATGAATGAATGAATTGCTCTCCCAAGGTTTAAAATAAAAAACACAGTGGGCTCAGGTGCAGAGAGTGGAGTGGATCGACAACACAGGCCACTGGAAATTATTATGTCATGTGTGCCCTACACCACCAGAGATACAAGTTGCAGGACAAGAACAAGAGGGAAATTTACAGTCCCCCATGTGCACCACCAAATACATTTGCAAATGGAGAATCACTGCACATGGGAGTCCAACTAAGCAGTCAAGATTTAGGTTGGAGCAATGGAGCAACGCAGATGCAAAGCAACCACGGGAGTACGTACTATACTCCTGTGACTGTGTGCAGTGCCCTGCACACATCCACACAGAGATAATTTAGGAGTAATAATAAGCAGTGAATGATAATAATAAGCAGTGAATGAAGACTGAAAAGGGCATTGGAAAAACTCGCTCTTCCATTGATACACTTGGATCTATGTACAGTTACAGCTTGTTGCAAGGAAGGGGGAAGGGAACCTCCGATAGCCATGGCGATATGGCAGAATCAGAGCCGTTTCTCGCAAATGGTTTTTGCCAGCTCCGCTCTTCGTCAGCTCCCGTTCGTTGCTGAACCCTGACTCGGAGCATGCGGTTGTGCTGCCCCGGTCGTCTGACCTCACTGATTAGTTATTGTCCTTCACTACCCTAATGTACAGTTAGAAGAAGAGAAAGAAAAACATGGTCTCGCACACAACAATTCACACATAGGTGTCACAAAATTTCCCATCCATCCTGTTCTGGACTGCCTTGATCGCCGCTACTCGAGCGGCCGTGGCCGCCCTGTTGGCGGCCATGACCACCTTGTGGACCTGCTCATCAACTCTAGGCAAGCGAAATGCGTTCTCCGCAGCTCGCTGAGAGGCCTGAATGAATGGACAATAGAACAACCATAAGAATTGCAGAGGGTAAATTTTAGTCTGATAGATGTGCACAGGAAAATTGTTGTTTACCTGTACGGCACGCTGAACAGAAGGATCAGCCGGGGGCAAGGGGGTCCTGAGAGTCCCAGAATCCCAGTCCCCTGATCGCTTGTCGCCATTCCTGAATGTGTACATCCCAAATCCCTGCTTCTTGCCTTCGTGCCAGGAGCCTTCGTAGCAATGGCCATTGGCGAAGCTGTAGACACCAAACCCGTGGATCTTGTCCCCAAAGTACTCGCCCGCATAACGATCACCATTTCTGAAACAAATTTGAGCGGCACGGTCGAAATTAGCAACCCGTGTTCAGAGTTCAAGCAATAGCCAAGCAATGGATCAGCGTGTCAGGTTGGAATTGGACCAAATCAAAGCGTGGAATTTCGCTAATAAGCGCTCACCTGAAATGGTAGCTCCCGAGGCCGTGCTTGACGCCGCACTTGAATTCCCCGACGTAGGAGCTCCCGTCGGAGCAGGTCTGCGCGCCGATGCCGTGGCTCTGGCCGCCGGCCCACTCGCCCGCGTAGCAGTCGCCGCTGTAGAAGCGGTAGACGCCGTGGCCGTGGCGGAGGCCCTGGCGGTACTGGCCTCGGTAGCGGCTGCCCCGCGCCCAGCTCTCGATGCCGTAGCCGTCGTACTTGCCGTCGACCCAGTCGCCCTCGTACTTGCCCTTGCCGAAGAAGTTGTAGACGCCGCTGCCGTTGCAGCGGCCCTTGTGGAACTCGCCCTCGTAGCAGTCCCCATTGCTGTAGAACTCGACGCCCTCCCGCACGACGCGGCCGTGCGGCGCGGCGGCGGCCTTGTCCGCCCGCTTCTGCGGCTTGTCGTCGTCGTCCCCGATGAACCACTGGACGGAGCCGGAGCCGGGCGAGCGGCGCAGGCGCAGGCATCCGCGGAGCAGGCGCGCGGCCCCGGCGGCGGCGGCGAGCGCGGCGGCCGCGGACGCCGCGAGGAGGGCGAGGTGGTGGCCTTCCCCGCCGCCGCCGCCGCGGAGGAGGAGGAGCAGGAGCAGGAAGGCGAGCGGGAGCGCGAGGACGAGCAGCGGGTGGGCGGGGCCGCCGAAGCCGCCGCCGCCGGGGTGGAAGTGGTGCGGCGGGGCCTTGGGGTGCGCCTGGGCCTTCTTGTCGTCGGGCTCCGGGTCCTCGACAACCACGGCCTGGAACGAGGAGCAGTTGCGCACCGTGGGCGAGCGCAGCAGCGAGGACGGCGTCCGCGTCAGCTTGCCGGCCCCGGCCCCGCCCCCGCCCCCGCCGCGCCGCCGTGTCCGTCCATCCCTCGCCGCCGCCGCTCCCCGGCCCCGACGCCTCCGTCCCTCTCCTCAATCTCTGGCGGATCTCCGTCTCAATCAAATCCCTAGAGCAGACGCGACGCGCAGGCGGGGCAGGCAGGCAGGCAGAGGATGGCAGATCGACGGGAGCAGAGCGGGAGTGGGTGGAGCGGAGAGAAGAGAGGAGAGGACGGGGCGGAGGGGTCTCTTATAACCACCGCGGGTGGGGGGAGGAGCGGGCGCCTGGGAGGTGAGGTGACCAGCTCCGCGTGCGCAGCGCCGACCTGCCCGTCCCGTCCCGTCTCGCTGCCGCGTGGGCCCTATCGGCAGGGGGATGTTGGCGCATCCTGCGGCCTGCGCCGCGGCCCGGGCGGGTGGTCTCGCCGTCGCGGCTAACGGACTTCGTTTGGTTGGCCTGGGCGGGAGGGGTTGGGCGGCTGGGTGGGGAGCTTCGCCCGCTCGGGGCCGACGACTCGAGGAGAGGGGAGGCTGTCAGAGAGGGTGGAGGTGGCGCCCACCGAATTCGGATCTGGGTATGGAGGGAGCGAGGGCAGCGTCGTGTGGTGCGGTGACGTGAGTGCGTCCAAGCTTTGGGCACGTGCCGCGGGGCGCTTTTTTGCTAGCCCGGGACCAGGCCGGCGCGGGCCACGGATTGGTTGGGCTGGGACTGGGATGGGCGGACGCCCGGACGCCGGAAGACGCTGCGCGCGGCGTGGCGCCGGTGGGAGAGAGGCGAGACCGCGAGAGGGACTCGAGGCAAACTGGGTTTGGTCTCCCCTGCTTCCGCTTACATTTGGAGTGTTTCGCCAAGGGTGCATTTGATTAGGAAGATGGGGGAAAGATTATTCCATCTCAAGTTTCAAGAAGAGAACGGTTTCATGTCTATATTTCGTTGAAGAGAGAGAATGATTTTTTTTTGTTTGGTTAGAGAGACAACAACAAATAAGATGACAGATCTGTTAGCCACCATCACAAACTGACTTTCTGGCTGTGTTCGGATCGAACGTCACCCGTCCTACATCGGAGGAGGGGTCCAATGGTAGATGGATTGGACCCAGAGTCCACCAAATTTTCTTGCCACATTAGAACCATCTTAACAGCCAAACGTTCTAATCTTGTTTCCTAACCTGAATTTTCATCACTGCTCGTAGCACTGCGCCGCTCCTCTCATGCTTGCCCGCACAGGTTCCTCTCCAACCACCTCCACTCACAGCTCTGCCCTTCGCCGTCGTTTCTTTAGCCACTTCCCCCAGCGGCATCGTGTCGCTACTCCCTCGGCCACCCTGTCCCGCACCAACTCCTCGCGTGAGTCTCGCTATCTCGCCCACAACATCCTCACACTTGGATGCACCACGGCCCGTCCATTGCCAGGCCACGTCGTTGCCCTTCTCCTCGCAGCCTCCCCGCCCTAGGTCCTCTGCCCGTGGCCTCCTCATCAGGCCACGCCACCGCCTTGCGCCATTCCTCAAGAAGAACCCACGGGCTCGGGACCACATAGAGAGAGAAGACAGCAAGAAACTTTATGCGTTTCTATCGGTTTTTTGTGCTATATAGGTAACTGTGTATAGTTTTTGGGCCTCATATGTAAGTCAAAAAAGAAAGAGACCAAAAAGTATGCCTGACCTTTTTTGGGCCAAGTAGGTAATTTTCTCTTTTCTTTGGCACCTATAAACTAGGTGTATGTTTAGTTTCCAAAATTTTGTAAATTTTTTCAAGATTTTCCGTCACATCGAATCTTTGGATGCATGCATGAATCATTAAATATAAATAAAAAATAAAACTAATTACACAGTTTAGACGAAATTCACGAGACGAATCTTTCAAGTCTAATTAGACTATCATTGAACACTAATTGCCAAATAACAACGAAAGTGCTACAGTATCATTTCTCAAAAAAATTCGCCAATTAAACGAGGCATAGATTACATAGGATAGGGGTAAACAAGCACGCTAAACTTATCATAAGTAAATATTATATCAATGTTAAAAATATACCCGCCATTTTTCTTTGATGCACTGGCTTCAGATAGCGAAGAATTTTTACAGGTCGCATGCTGTCCTCTTTTAGACTGGCCACAGCGTCGTCGGTGCTGAAAAAAATTCTCTATGTGCCAGCGTCAGCACCGATGTTTCTACTACATGGATCCACATCATGCGGTGCTCAATGCTCAGCCAGCAGAACAGCCTGGACCGACGGCTGGTAGAATTTTTTTTATTCTTTCAACATCAAGGAAAGTAGATGACCCGAGTAGTGTGTTTTTGTTTAGCGTGCATAATGGTTCTACTCGATGCTCTGATATTCTCTCTCCTCTCTCAACATCGATAAAACACAACATTATGGCTAGTGTTATATGATGCTTAATAATTACATTGTCCCTTTCCCTTCGATCTCTCCTGCGGTCATCAAATACAGCATGCTCACTTTTTTGACTGAAATTAACCAAGTGATCAAGCGGATGACCTAATAAAGAAATGAAGCTTTGGATATGGATTTTTTTTTGTGGAAAACAACATAACCAAATATATATAGTCAACATAAAGTCCTAGCGAAACTTTGATTTGCGAATTGAAACTTGCAACAGCTGTAACTTTGTTGCTTGGACGACGACGGTGTCATATGTGAAAACAGGTGATAATGCCGCCTTACGAATGGCATACGATGGAAAATACACGTTCAACCAGTCTTGAGAGTGCTTTCATAACGCCAATATTTTAGTACTCCCTCCGTATCGCAAATAGCGGTCGTTCTAGCCACGGACGGATCTGAGCGATTAGAAGTTGTTCGGGCCTCCAATGCAAAGTTTGGACGATGCTGCCCCTTGCGCTTCGTATCCCTTGCCGCGCGTTAAGAGCTCGCGCTTCGCATCCCGCGCCGCGCGTTAAGAGCCCGATCGATCCCTTGGCTTCCCTCGCGGCATCAATAGGCCAACCGCTCGCCGCTAAGAACACGCGCGGCTACCGCCACCGCACACCATCTCCACCTCACGCAGCACGCCGCTCACCGTTTGCGCGCTCGCCGTTCACCGCACGCCACGTCGATGGATGCCTCGCTGTCCTCGGAGATGGAGACGATGGTGCCGGACTCCATCACGTCAGAGTCGCAGGAGGCAGCGAAGATCGTCACGTCGGCGATGCTGGAGCTCTCGCGCGGAGTCGGAGATGGAGTTAGTGCCGGACTCCAAGATGGAGGTCGCGCCGGACTTGGAGGAGGTCGCCGTGGACGACGTCGGACTGAAAAAATTCGCGCGGCATAGCGCGCAACCAGCGTGCATGCGAGAGCAAGCAGCGAGCGTGCACAGCGCCATGCAAATTCCCACGAGCGTCCAAAAAAATAGTGCGGCCAAGGGATTCGAACGCTGGACCTCCAGCCTTGGTCCACAGATCGCTTACCACTCGGACTATGAGGAATTGTTGTATAGGAGACACCCGCAGTCCTATTTAATAAAGGCAAAGAAGGAAAACTCCCCCCTAATTAATCACTCTTTGGCACTCCTAGGTAAGCGTAATCCTGTCATAAACGACTTCTAATTGCGATACGGAGGGAGTATCTATATAGGCCTCACACATGAGTCAGCGGTCAAACTCCCGCTATTTCGTTGGAGAGGGGAGAGGGAGACTTTGTTACTCCCTCCGTCCAAAAATATATGTCATTTTCGCTTTCTGAGAAATAACTTTGACAAAATATATATTAAAAATATTAATATTTACGATACATAATTGTATCATCGAAAAAATATTTGAATCTAGTTTTTTAATAAATTTATTTAGATATATAAATGTTATATGTATTTTTTATAAATTGAGTTAAACTTATGGTACCGAACTAAAGCAACCGATCATTTGGGACAGAGGGATTACGTCAAACCCGTGACCCTGATTCGAGGAGCGTTGTCCAATTTTTTGCAACGATGAATGCTCGTTGCTCGCCGGCCTGCGTGAATGCATCGTTGACAACCTCGGTGTCATCGACGTTGCCTGCCTGCGCCTACGCTGACGCTCACTCGGCCGAGAGCGCATTGATGCGGAGTAAATTTGGTGCTGAACGGCCAACGACCAAGACGACCACGTCAGGCCAGGGCGTGCGTCGTCTGGTTCGTCAGGACTCTCACATCACATCTCATGACAGGAGCCGCCCTATACCGCGGGGTGGTCGGCCGGCCAATCCGTGGCCACCTCCGGGAACAGGGCAGCAGTCGCTCGGCTCGGTTCCCATTCCATACCGGCGTTCTCTGGTTCGCTCGAGGAATTCGGCGGATCCGGATGCGGAACGCACGGCGCGGCGCGCCCAGGCTGGTGTGGGCGCGAGGGCGAACCGCAGGCACTAGGCACAGGTAGGCGGCCTGCCGCGGGCGAATCCATGGGCGACGCCGACTCGGGGCGGGCGTGGCCGCGTGTAGGCCGCCCGTAGGGACACTGTATAGTAGGCCGGTATCTTGCAGCGTGCGGTAGGCTTTGGACTTTGGGGGAGTCTCTAGGCGTGGACGACGGGTCGACGGCACGTCGAGCCTTGTTCCTCCCCTCGTTCTAGAACGGCGGCATGGGCGGTAGCGGTACAAAATGTTTTGGACCTTTTGGGGTTATCATGCCGTCATGGCGTGCGATTACTAACCGCGAACGCGAAGCCTATCCTCTCCGCTCGTAGTGACATCGTCACATCGGTACCAGGTGAGAAATGCATCTCTATATGTGGATTTGGTTTTCAGCTCCGAACTGAGTTCAGTGACTTAGCAAGGATCCCTGTTCGCTCGAACTTATCAGCCGCCTTATTAGCTAGAATCTACAATATTTTTTTTCTCACAACAAAACAGTTTTAACCGGCTTATGTATCAGCCGAATAGAGCCCATCTTCATCTCCTTGGCAAATCCCTTCCAAAAATTTTCAGCAAGCAGGTACGCTCTAGATGAATGCTAGGCGTGCTTCGATAGGATAACATTAAAGATGGCAACGGGGATGTACCCGTCGGGTATCGCCGGAACGTTCTCTTCCCCGCTATGGAGAATTCATCCCGTCCCCGTTAACTGTCTCGGGTATAGATTCTTGCCCATCCCCGTACCCGTCGGGCATCGGTCGGGTAACAGATACCCGTCGGGTACTGCATACCCGATAAACAAGGACACTTGGGGTCGCAGCTTTGCAATCGGTGACGTTTCTTCTTCACCCTGGTATAAGTGTTGGAGTCTCGGAGATGCCGAGGAGAAGGAGCGAGGTTGCGAAGAGGACGAGCAAAGGTGGCAGAGAGACTGTCGATGTTTTACCACCGATAGCCTACCACGGGGGTACCGTGGTAGTATCGTTCGGGTCTCGGCGTATGCTGAACTCGATGGTGAATGCAAGAGACAGTCGATTTATCCTGGTTCAGGCCCTCGATCGTAGATCGAGTAACGACCCTACGTCCAGTCGGCGTTTGCCTTTTGCGTTGGATTGATTATGAAGTGTTATGTCGTACCAATTGTCCCCTTCTTTAGGAGCTCTGGCCTCCTTTATATATTTAGGAGGCCGGAGTCCTAATCGGTTTACAATGAGATTTTCTAGTAGGATTACTTAATAGTTCTATTACTAAGATTACATGGGAAGAACCCTAGTTGAACTAGATCTTCTCTCTCTCTTGCGGGGTATCCTATGGGTCCCGCATCGACAAGCCCCCGAGCACTTCATGGTTGAGCTCTGAAAGTCTCGCTTTGCTCCTTCAAGTCTTGTTAGGTTGGAACAAAATGTTATCCGAGTGCTTTCTAGAGTGAAACCTTGTAGCGCTTCTTGGGACCCTCGAGTGGTGAGTGTTTTGTGAAGAAAAAGTACATCCATCTGGTTGTAGCCCCCGAGCCTCTTGCTATTTGGAACAAGGAGCTGGAGGATCTTGTCTTGAAGTTGCTCTGATTGTTCGTTGAAGTTTTGTCAAAAGGAACTCGAATATGGCTCGTTCCGGGTTCTTTTTGTCATAATGTCTTGAAGTAGTCTGCGTTGAGGAAGTCTTTTGATGGCGTGCGCTTTTTCAGAGAAAAAGTGCACTCACTGAGTGTAGCCCCCGAGCCTCTTGCTATTTGGAACAAAAAGTTGGAGGGTCTTGATCCTTTATGTTTGTTTGAAAATCCGTGCTCTGAAGTAATCCCTGAGATTTGAATCTTGTCCTCGTCCGAGTAGTTTTTGTGGTATCTTTCCGAAGCGGTTCTTTAGTCCTGGATTAAGCCATCATCCGAGTAGTTTTTGTGGTATCTTTCCGAGCGCGTCCCTTAGTATTGGATTAAACCATCATCCGAGTAGTTTCGTGGTGTGCGCCTCCGAGCCTATGTCCGGGTTCTTTTTGGGTGGGTGCAATTTTTATAAAATTGCACTCACCGAAAGTGTAGCCCCGAGCCTCTTGCTTTTGCTTGCAAAAGTTGGAGGGTCCAGATTCCTATCTTCAAAAAAATTCAGGGCTATGTATCCCGCACCTCGTGC